TCCCACTTATCTTCGGAGACAGCTCTCCCACCAAATATGGTGGCGACAGTCTTGGTGGGGTCTTGGTAGGTTGGGCCCTTGTTCTTGCCTCATTCTCCACCCTGACCATCTTCGGTCTCATCATCATCACGCCATGGCTTCTTCGTTGATTCGCCACCGAGCGCTGTCTTCAGGCCTCTACACTCTCGCATGGTATGCTTGGCATCCTTGTGGATAGAGCATGGTCCATCCAGCAGCTTGCCGAAGTCAGCGTCGTAGGTGCACTTGGCCTAGGTATCAGCGGTGTTAATCGAGTTATCAGGCTGGTGACAGCAGCCTTGTCTGCATCTCAAGCTCTTCGGGCGGTCGTCACGCTGGGGGTCGCGATCATCTTGGCAGCGGTCACGATCATGTGGCGGTCTTGATCATTACGGCGGTGGTCACGGTCATCGTAGCGCCTGTCTTCATGATGGTCATTGTTGCGGTGCTGGTGCTGAGTAGAGAGGGCAGCCCGTTTGGCTTCTTCGGCGTTGGTGTATCCATTTGCTATTTATATTAGTTCGCCGATGGTAGAGGGGCCTCTTGTGGTACAGCTTTCCACAGAGCTACTCATGCCGGATCCCTTTGGTGAAAGCGGTGATGGCCTTGGCGTCAGTGATGTTGGGAATGGAGTTTCTTTGTCTCCGAGAAGCGCCTGATGAAGTCACGCAGGGACTCCTCGGAGGACTGATGAAGCTTCTCTAGGTCGTACTTGGTGCTAAGCTGCTCGCACGTGGCCATGTAATTATCGGTGAAGACTTTCTTGAGGTCGTCCTAGGATCGGATCGAGTTCTCCCATTGGCTAAGGAGCCAGTTATTTGCAGACTGGTTGAGCATGATGGGAAAATAGTTCACCATGATGTCTTCGTCTCCCCCCGTGGCTTTCAAAGCGATCTCGTATAGAGTTAGCCACTGAGCGGGGTTGGCCTTTCTGTCATTGGTGTTAACACCAATGACCTTGAAGCCCACAGGCCACCAGATGGCTCAGAGCCTTTCGGTGAAGGGGTGAAGTCCTGATGCACTGGCAGGGAGTGGTGCTTGACAAGCAGCAAATCCCCATGTTTGGCGTCAAATTGACGGCGACGTTCCATCTCTGCTTCCTAGCGTGTGGACCTGCTATTTTTTATGCGGCCATGGACATCTGCGCCGGTGTTGATGTGATTGTGAAGGTCATGAGGGAGGGGTTGATTGACCTCTTGGTTGCGGTTGTGGCCCCGACCTCTCTGGGGGCATGGTGGGCGTGCGTTGTGGCATGAATTAGCTTCATAGTTGCCTCCGGATCCTCTATAGAGGTAGGGACCTCCATCTAGAGGTCGGGGCCATTGACACCATGATGCTGGCCTCCTTTGTCATGGCGAGAGCGGCGACTATGAGTTGATGTGCTGGAATAAGACGGGGTGTTGTTTCGGAACTGGTTGACTTGGACCAGCGCAGCTATGATATGTGCTCGGACCCTCTCGACCTCTAGAGTGTGAGGGAGTTTGTCAAGCTCGTTGAAAGCGATGGCTAGATTGGCGCTTGGAGTCTGGAAGACTGGCTAGTCACCCACCATGTCGAACGCTTCTTCTAGATGACGCTGATGGCGGGATGGGCCACGACCATCCTCGTCGGCCCTTTGGGCTGCTTCTGCATCTTGACTGCATTGGCGATCAGCGTTCTTTGCTAGGCGAGCTTTGCGCTCTTCAACAGTCTTGCCCTCCTTGGTGACGCTATCGTGGCTAACATGAAAAATCACACCCCCGAACCCTAGAGGGAAAGCAGGGTAGCTTGATACGGTCTAGGTTGAGCCTTCGAAATAATCGTCGAGGCTCTCGTTTAGAATGTTGTGGAGAGATTCGATCGAAAGAGGAGAATCATCTGGGAGCTGGCGAATAACCACCACGTTGACCATGGGCGTAGGCTGATCGGAGTCAGTCGGGTCGATCATGTAGAGATCGGTGGCGTGGTTGCGCTCAATGTGGTCGACGAAGAGGTGGTGGACAACGTTCTGGTACACAGATCCTGCACCCTCCAGCCCAAAAGGATAGGGCCTCGATGGGTTCTCCATCGAGGCCTCGTAGTCGGCCAAGCGTAGGTCGGTAGCGGGAAGCGGTCGGCGCCACATCGTGCGCCACTCCGGAGTAGCCATGATCACCAGATTGGAATCTAGTCGCCTCAAACGGTGTGGCCGAGTAGGTCGCTCGGTCGCAGCGGCTTGGTGATCTTGGAGCGCAGGAAAATCGTCACTCGCTCTAGATTGGTCTAGGACCAAATCCACGAGGAGCTAGCATTCCGTTATGCGTTCTATGACCCGATCAATGGATGCGATCAGATCATCATTATTGATAGATCTCCTAACCTAGCGGCGGGGGGTCAGGATCGGAGATATCGTTGCAGGTGTTGGCGCGATGGGCGTAGGGTGATCCTGCATCGCCTCCATGATCTCCCCGTTGTCGTCGGGGTTGATGATCCAGATCATGGATCCAACCGTTAAGATCTGGCCTGGCTCGAGGAGGGCCATGGAGCTCGGAAAGGTGACCATCTAGTTCGCCATGAATTCAGTGCGCACCCCCCCTACCTGGCGCGTCACTGTCAACGAAATATGGTCGACAGTCTTCTGAGGGATATGTCCACGATAGTAGATGAATCGGTGGAGGTGCGCGTGAGGAAACCGGATGATGACACATAATACAAGAGACAACGACTAGACAGGTTTGGACCATCGACTTGACGTAATACCCTATGTCCTGTGTCTTTGTGGATTGTATTGCGTATGAACCCCTCTAAAACGAGGGGGTTCTTACCCACCTTATATAGCCTTGGGGGTAGGGTTATATATCGGTTGTTTCTATCCTGATCGGTTTACAAGATAGGAAATTACAGATATCACGGCAATTTAGCATATCCGAGAGATTTCCTAGATCACTGAGGATCCTTACGTAGTTTTGCGAGGCACGTTGAGCTACGCTGTACTTCACGCGGTGTCATCTTGCAAACTGGGCCTCGACTGGTGACGCGACCCATGCATGGTCTTGTGGGCTGGGCCTCCCCTAGCGGCTCGGCCTATGTACAGCCATGTGGGTACCGGGGATTATACCCCCACAGTTGTCGAACTTGTATAAGCACAAATCATGAATCCGGATCCGTAAGGAGGATGCGAAGACATTCCCCCGTTCGCGTGCCCTTAAACCCGGCTTAATCCACTTCTTTTTTTCATCGGGAACAGTGTTTTCCTCTCACAAATTCCTCTAGATTCATCCAGATTCCTCCAAGCGAACGGGGCCATTTATAAGATGTATAAAAATAGCTGGTTTTGCTCTTTGATATTATGTATATATAGGAAATATTCGAGTGGGTTGCAACATAAACGAAATTAGTTCATATCCATTCTTAGCAAACAATAAATCTGGTCTAACCCTATGAATTTTTTTTCATAATTTGTAGGGCAATAAGAGCATTATGTATTCATTAAAACAAAATAATAGTATTCAGTTTTTTAGCAAAGCTCAATGAATATAAAATTAGCACGATGATTTATGCTACATTAGAGACAAAGTATTTTGATTGTAAAAGTATAGTAGATGTTATGATATCGTTCTCAATATCTATTGAGCGTCTTATTAAAGAATCATAAAAAGCTAACCTTAAATTCTTGTGCAATTAGGAGGGCAAGTTAACACTTCACACAATCAGTTTTGAGCTTTACATTTTCTGTGGACCTTATCCCTCCACGTGTATTTTCTTCACCTATCCAACTTGCTCCATGGTCCCTCGTTGCCTCCACCTCCATCTCTGCCGCTACGTCAAGAAGCACAACCAAACATGATACAGATGCCACGGTGTGGTGTCCAATAACTTGAAAAGAGGCCAGCAACACCGCCACACAGTGACACATGTGTTCAGTAGTCCGCCTTTGCAATCTGCGTGTCTCAACACTTCGAGTCACCCACAGACGTGGACACGCCCACCGGTAGGCCTCGTGGAGTCCGCCATAGCCGGCTTGTTTGCTGTTCCCATCCCTCACCCCCTGCGCTTCTCTCCCAAACTCAGGGCCCAAATTTTTTTTGCACAGTGTTCATCACATCGAATCTTACGGCACATGTATGTAGTACTAAATGTAGACGGAAAAAAAACTAATTACATAATTGAGTGAGAAATCGCGAGACGAAACTTTCGAACTTAATTAATTCATAATTAGACACTAATTGACAAATACAAACGAAAGTGCTACAGTAACTTAAAAAATCGGCATCTAAACGCGCCCTCAGTCCCTTATCTATCTCTCTCCAAACAAATCAAGTTGGTGCGGCTCTCATCTGCCATCGCAAGGTGTGGCCACCGGTGACTCTGGGCATAATTAACCGAAGACCGAAGACCGAATCGAAAAGACCGAGACCGAGACCGAAAAGTTCGGTCATGAGTTCGGTCCTGGCTCCCAACTAACCGAAGTAACCGATAGAAGTTCGGTCATATGTGTCGGTTAACCGAAGTGACCGAACTGATCGTAGTTTTGTAGACTTCGTTCGTAATGTCATTATGTGTGATTGTGATTTGTGAGAACTGAGAAAGTTGTGTGCTAGAACTTGTCATAATAATGTGTGGTTTGTTTTATATATTGTGTTGTTATTTTTTGCCTTCAAATAGCAAGCATGCTGTTGAAAATTACTATAGATTCTGTTATTGTTTGTGGCTGCTACTCAGGTCCGGTTAGTTCGGTCGTGACCGAGACCGAACCGAACTAACCGAGATCGAACTTCCTCAGTCTTCGTTTTTTACAAAGACCGATCGGTCCCAGATTTCTGATGACCGAACTGACCGAATGACCGAGGAACCGAACCGATCGGTTCGGGTTCGGTCTGACCGAATGCCCAGGTGAGCCACCGGTGACTCATCTGCTTTCCTCCCTCCACAAAATCCAGCTGATGCGGCGAGCGAGCGGACGGGGTGCTGCGTCGAGCGGGCGGACTCCACGGCCAGTTGGGCGCCGCGGCAGGATCCAGCTGATGTGGCTTTCTCCTCGGCTCCCTCTCGGCGTGGCAGGCGCGTGGTTCAGTGTGCTGCATGCAGCATGGGGGACGGGCGAGGCACCATGGCGAGCAAGCGAACGGCTCGGCCAGGTGCGCAGCGCGGTAAGTCGGTGGCCCCCCGACGCCGCACTCGGCTTCCACCCCACACTTCGCCTCCGCATCGAGCAACTGCGCCCTCCATGTCCGGAGTCCTTCCGTGAGGGCATCGTCTTTGACTTCCCCTGCCCAGCGTCATTGAAGGTCGAAGGTCCGCGTGCTGTAGCCCAGTGGCCGCGTGGCCCCGCGCCCCGACGTCCCCAGCAGTCGCGTCCGGATGGCCACGCTCGCGTGCCTCGCCCTGGCGGCTCCTTCTCGCCCGACGACAATGGTCGTCTTCCCCGTGCGCCCGTGCTCACACCGGGGGCAAACTCGCCCTGGGACCACGATCTGAGCAGGGAGCGGTGCAAATCTAAGCCGGTAGGTTCACGTGATCCGATCTTTTCTCTGGTCGTCTCAATTTATCCTAGATTTGCTCTTCTTGTTTTTGGAAATTTACGAATCCATGTTACGTGGTCCGATCTTGTCTCAGGCTGTCTCAATTTATCCTAGATTTGCTCTTCTTGTTTTTGGAAATTTACGAATCCATGTTACGTGGTCCGATCTTGTCTCAGGCTGTCTCAATTTATCCTAGATTTGCTCTTCTTGTTTTTGGAAATTTACAAATCCATGTTGTTCTAGTGCCTCTAATTATGGATCTTTATGCGTTTTCCTCTGTATTTTGACTTGGTTTTAGATTTTGGATGCGGACTCTACAAGTGACGAAGAGCAAGCCTGCAGCGGATGCATCCGTATCGGAAAGGAAGACTTCTCTGGGGTGCAGAGTTCTGAACAGAAATGGAAGAGCAGGTGAGGGGCGCGGACACGGACAGGGAAAATAACGGAGGCTTTTACCGTGCGCCATTAAACAAGAGTTTGTAATTACGCATAAGCTATTAAAAAAGTTAGCTCGCCGATGCCATCATTCTGAACTTATTTGTTCTTCAAGCTATTTCACCCGTTTTTCTATATAACGGTGTCAAACTAACAGGCGAAATAACCATTTTACCCTACGGTGGGGTGGTGGGGTTTGTTTGTAGAGTTCGTTTGTGAGCCACCCAAACTCTCTCTTTCTCTCTCTTCCATTTCCTGTGCACACGTAGGGCTGAGGGAGCTCTGGTCTACGGCCGGGTTCTCCACCCTCATTGCCATTCCGAGTGCTCGAGGTGGTGCAGCCGTAGGCTTGAACGCCAGCTTGATGAGGTCATAGACGGTGGGGTTGGCTCTCGGCTTGGCGTGGCGGCGAGCCTCAGCGGTGTAGGATGCCAAGGCCAAGGTTGACGGAGACGCCGACGCCCAGAGCGATGAGCCCTGGCTCGTGTACCCTCAACTGGGGATCGCGCGACACGGTGAGCATGAACACAACGACCTCTCGTCACGACCGTATGGGGAGCCGCAATGGGTGCGCGTGGAGGGCAATTCCGCCACGGCCGCCTTGAGCACGGCGCAAGGCTGGCGCACAACGAGAAGGAAGGTGGATCTGGGTTAGTGACAGCTTGGCCCCACTATGCAGAGAGAGAAAGAAGCAGGAGGATAGGACGAGTGAAGGGTACTTTGGACGTTTACACTGACCGGGCCCACATGTAAGGGCTACCAAACGGTGAAAAACAAACATAACACAGACGGAATGGCTTAGAGAGCAAAGAAGTTCAGAACGATGGCACTCGTGGCACACATGTAAAAGCCTAAAAATAATGCGGGGAAGATGCCAGACGAAAGTTTGATCCAGACGAAAGTTTAGGCTGAAATTTTACCTCTTTAGTATTAGGTAAAGTAGAGGTAAAGAAAATCATTTATGTCCAAATATACATAGTTTGTCGGTTTTGTTGTTTGACAATTAAATTTAGTTGCAACAAAATCTGATCTTCTTAATTAATTGATAGTTAATTAAGGTTGGATGATTTTATGTTCATATGAGCCTAATCCCAAAAAACAAAATGGCAGCCAAACCATTTTGCTAATGAGGCTAACATAGAAAGTAGATTTTTGCTTTGATCCTATGGGATTTTGCATAAATTATGCCACTACTCAACTATATCACTTTGTGCTCAGTAAGTTTTCCATTTGTAGTCATTGACTTCAGCATTATTAGTACATTTGTACTTTGCCAACCTTGTTAATTTGGTATTTTTTCCATAAATTGTATTTTAACAACGATTGATTCTCTTAATTAAGATTTTCTTAATTAATGATGGATTATGCAAAATTGCTATATTTATATCTTAGATATATTTGGGATCCTAACACAAGTAATGGAGTCCTAGGCATTGGCTGCGCTTAATTCATCTTGAATTATTTAGCTCAAAGACCGTGCCTATGGCAGTGAGTATTCACCCATCACTGAGAGGTCTACATCATGTTTATTTAAACTTGATGATTACCTACATTATGTTGTTCCAATTAAGTGCTTTGAAAATATAAGAATGATACACTTTTATAGTAACTACCATTAATCATTATTAAAGGCTACACACAGGTTCTAGAGTCTTAAGCACTGGCTGCTGTATATCCATACGAATATATCAGCCCAGAGACCGTGCTTATAGCATCAATTTATTTGCCTACTACTGAGAGATCTACTCTATGTTTCGGACATAGAGATTATCTACAATGTGTGTGCCAACATTAATAATGATTGTTCGTGAGTCTACACATCTTGTGATTACCTCTAATTGTTGGAAAGTTTATAGTTTTGTTGACTATCTCCAACAATCCAAACCAAAGTGACAAGATATGGAACCCCCTAAAATTTTGCATTGGAGATTACATCACCATAGTGATTTTTAATTTACTTCAGGTGTAAATTAATTAAATCAATGTTGATTTCAGAGGAGTTTGATGAACTCGCTCTAGATGGCATCGCTATCCCACATGAACAATGGACATTAACATTGATTTTATCCCATGGACTAATAGAACAATTTATTGAACCTCAATTAGGGGTTGTTTGTTATAGATCAAAGAGAATTTTGCCTTACTATAGTTAATGTACTACGTCCATAAAGATTATCGATAAGATTATCTTATAGAAAGAAATGCACATTCTTCATGACTCACTCTTTAGGAGTTTTATAAACAATAAATAAACTTATATAGCTTGAGGCTAATCATGAGTGGATCATGTCTCTAGTTTTTTAAGCTATTGAAGACTATGATCATATTGTTCATACAATTTGCTTTCACTAGTAAAAGCAAAAGGCCTAATGTGCAATACGAGTGATAGGAGTGCGAACCCAAAAATGACAAAGAGTTATGTCATATATGTGGTTGTGTTTAGCATAGTGCTAAACAATGATGTACTCTTAAATTTGTATTTGATCTATATTAGAAGTCTATAAGGGATGAAACATGAGCTACAACAATAAGATATGAATGGTGCTTCAATCTTTAAATCTAAAGCTACCTCTAGGAGGTTGGTTGTTTTTGCTGGATCTTATGGGATCACGTAACAATACTCCTCTTTTTCTCATAAGAGAACCTCAAATAAATGGACAACATGATCATCGAATATGTTTGGAATGACTTGTTTTGAGATTTGGAATAGTCTCATGGTCCATTGATATTATTTGATAATGTCCATCAGAATATGTTGTAATACTTGTTGTTAATGTATAACTATTGTGGGTATCATATTGTTGTATTTGATACTCGACAATATTTATATATTTCTATATATTAGACAAGAATTTCATTGAATTGTTGTCATATATAGATTGTATGGGAATCATTCCAATGTGGAATGATATGTGCCTAGTGGACATTTGTACCACAAACTTTATAATTAGGGAAGCAAAATGTTTTTGGTTCTTGTGACAAGAAGAGGGAATAATTTTGGCCATCGCTGATCTGATGCAATAATAGTTTGGTCTATGTTGCCACTATCATTCTTCTATGGATACTGAGTTAGAAATTGAGAATATTTAATTATGTCCTAATTACACTCATATCTTACCAAATTATCGAGATATCTAAATGTTTTTTCGTATGGAAACACAAAAATACAACATTGGATATGGCCTATAAGTAATGAGATAAGTCTCGTTTTGGTTGTATTATGCATACAACCATCCCCGTACAACATGTTGCGTATAAGATATTTTTTACACTATTGATGCATTCTAAATTTGGAATGAACAACTTAGCCATCATATGGGATGAGGTGAAAAATTATTAGCAATTCTTTTGGTCAAGATTTTCCCAAAGTGTGGATACGATTAGTGTCATAAGGAAATAGATTTTAAGATCCTCTCTTATCTTAAAATCAGATTGAGTGTCTTAGATTCTTTGATCAGATTCAAGAAAATATGTGTGGGTCTGATACAAAGATTGTATGGACAGTACAGGCATTTCATGGTTGTGAAGATACATCTATAAGATGATCTAGAGTGTGTGAAGTATCCACACTCAGCCATGCATTTGGTAAATAATGGCTCATGTTGTGAGCCCATTATCCTGAACATTACTAAATTTTTGTGCCTATAATGATGATTGTTTGGTATAACAAAAGTTTAGTTACATATTGTTGATACTTCTTAACAACTATTGGAGAAATTCTGCAAGTGCACAGAATTATCGTGTAGCACTTCACTCGGTGAGTACGAGTGTCGAATTTATATTTTTCCCACATGAAGGCGGAAGGCTAGAATTTATATTTGTTGGTAAGTTGCTAAGGGAAGCCTAAGTGTATCCTAGGTAGGTGAACGATATGAGTGGGTTGTGTGTAAACTACCTACAAAACTACTAAACAAGCTACACTAGAGATAGCTAGGTGGGAGAGCGAGCGATTTATCTTTCAAGTAACTAAGGGTAAACTAATGACTATGAGAAATGCGCTAGTACTTCGAGGCACAGCCCACCTACCAACTAGGAGAGTTAAATAGACAAGGTCTGCCACGAGCCCTACGATTTAATAACTAGACCTATCGTGGTGGAATAAAGAGGATGGACAAGGCTGTCACCACTTACCACCTATCACAATCTATTCGGAGGCCTAGCCGCATCCATAGGTAATCTATAGCCTAAGCATCACGCTTAATCTATAAACTTACTACTTCTTCGATCCGAGCTCTGATGAAATGAGATCAAAGCACCCTAACCAGATGGTGGAACCAATACTAACAAGTAGCTACTAATTAAGAGATAACCTATGCTACTAATGCCAAACAATAAGCACCTAAGCTCACTAATGATGAACACTAATGACTAAGTACTTAAGTAAAGCAAAGCAATAATACTAGAATAAAGTACTGACATAAATACTGAATAAAGTAAATGCTAAATAAAAGAATTATAAAAGAGCTATAGCAGACCTAGAAGACTCTTCTGGACTTCGAGAGAAGCTCCTGCTTTTGCTCTACTCCACTACTCCACTACTACTCTATAGCTAATGCTAAGCTAGAAAGCTAAGAGAAGCTTGGAGAGCTTGGAATTGAATAGGGCCTCTTTTCACCAAGCTCCACACCCTCTATTTATAGTGTAGAGAGGCATGGGGGGTACTTGTAGGCAGCCAAGAGGTCGATGGAGGACCTAGGGCACCGAGCGGCGCTAGGGGGCACCGACCGGCCCTTAGATCCACCCCCTCTTGATCCTCCAGCTCTGGTTGGCTCCCAATGGCTGTTACTAAGACATCACGTGCAGAGATTTGGGCAGTAGGTCAGTTGGTAAGTCGGTGGAAGCCTCCCAAGTCTATGACAATGGACCCATGAATCCACTGGCATCAAATCTTGTCCGTTAATCAAACCGACTTGAATGGATGCTTGGCATTGGCTCTAGATGAGCTCCCACAGATCGGTGACTTGGCAGGGCCACTTGGGGGCCGGGCGGCGTTGCCAGGTGGGCCCATAGCCTCTTGTCACATCCACTTACTCCATGTGTCCATATTTGTCACCAATTTGGCCTATTTTTGCTATATTTTCCCACATACAAATAATTCTACAAGCACAAGTAGAACAAGGTGAATTATAAATAAAATTCTTCACATGTGATGATGATTTACGTCACTTTATCATGCTTTTAGGTGAAATGTTGATGGTCAAAACGGGTGTTAGTGAATGTCAACAAGCTCCCCCATGCTACCCCTTTGCTGTCCTCAGCAAAGATATGGGTTTTGCATGGAATAGGTGTTGGATTAGGAGTTGCTACTATGTAACACCCTGCAAAAACTTATATACAAACAATACTATCTCTTGAGTTGAACATGTCAGCACTTAGAAATTCACCATCAGTCTTAGCAATGTGGGACTTATAGCTTTCACCTTGACATAAGCAATTGCAAGAATGTG